CCTCCCCCTTTTGTTGATTTCTGAGACAGTGTTCAAGCTGGCCTCTAATTCACAATCCTCCTGCCTCAGGGTCCCGAGTACTAGGTTGAGAGACATGGAGTACTTTGTTTGGTTCAAGAGTTCAGCGTTGATGAATCAATGAGTGAGTGAATGAGTGACTCAGTCAGCCCACTGATATACATAGGCCCAGAACAAAGCCCTTGGTGGCCAGGACCCAGTGGCTGGCAGCCTGGAGCCCTGGCTCGGCGGCTGGAGGAAGAGGCTCAGCCCCTGCCCGGGCTAGCCTGGACAGACGCTCACCTTCATTCCCTTCCCGTGACACACATGGGTGTGTTTATGGAGCAGCGCCCGCCCGGGCCACCTCCCCGAAGTCCGAGGCACAGCTGAGCCTTCGGTGAGAGACCCAGCTTCCTGAAGCCTCGCTCTTCCTACCTAGAAAACAGGGCTGCTGTCACCGGAGTCGCCGACCCTGTGCCCGGTCGCACACTCACCCAGCAGCAGCAGCTTCAGCTCCCCGCGCTCTTGCTTCTTCTGTTCCAACAAGATCTTGTTGATCTCCTGGTCGATTCTGGCAGCTGTCTTCTCCTCCTCCGTCAGGCACCAGGGACAGCAGCCCCAGGTCAGAGACCTGGCCATAGTGGATGTCTCACAGGACAGCAGGTGACATGGTTCCTGGGGCCCTCACAGCCCCAGCTGTGGGACTCTTCCTTCTCTGGATGGAGGGGGGTGGGGGGCGCTCCAGGGGCCGTGAGGTTCCTGCCTAGGGCATGCAGGAGCCCAGCAAGGGCTACAAGAGAGGCCTGGGTGCTGGAAACAGGGTGGGGACCTGGGTGCTGCCTCCCGCCCCCTCCAACTTGCCTAGACCTGGCCCTGCCCGCCAGACAGGTCGGTGGCAAGGCGGGAGGCTCCAGCAATGGGAGGGAGGGGTGGCTGCCTCCTCACAGCCCGGTCCCCCGTGGTGTCTGGCTTGGGCCTCCTTCCTCCTTTCCAGAGAGGGTGGCCTCACCCCTGAGCCTCTGACGCTGCTGGCCCCAGCTGGCCCCCTCCTCTGGGCCAAGAAGGAAGCAAGAGTGGGCACAGCTATTGCTCAGAGATCCTTTCAGAACGGCTGAGGTGGGAGGGAAGCCCGTGCTTCCGTGTCTGTCTGGGCTCCCTCAGCACACACCCCAATTTGACAGCTGAGGAAACCGAGGCACGGGATAAAGGCAGGGGCTTTCCCGAGGAGAGAGGGGGGAAGCCGAGGGAGCTCAGGTCTGGCACCCTGGGTCCCAGAGAGATCAAAAGATGCAGAAGAACCGGAGAGGGCCCGCCCGGGGCCTGCATTCCTGAAGCACCTATATGGGGAGGGCTTCTGTCTTGCTCCACATGGGACAAAACAGAACTTTTTATGTGAAGTTGGGGGTGACAGCTACACCCCAGCCTGACGCGAGTTGTCCCCAGGCTCAAGTGGCAGGAGGAAAACCCAATTCTACAGGTTGCCCTCTGCCACCCACCTAAAACCAAAACCAAACAGAATGATGAACCCCTCAGGGCGCCAGGTGGTGACAAATTCTAAGACCAAAGTGAGGCAGAGCTGTTGACGCGCTGGGGGCGTGGCTTTAAAGAGTCTGCAGAGGGCACAGCGACACTAAAGGACACTAAAGGAGTTGAATCTCCGCGCACACCCCCAGACTCCTCAAACTAAAAGCTCCCATAGCTCTAGTCCGCAGAGAGCCTGCGGGCCTCACGACTTGCCGCCAACGAAGCAAAGGCGAGGTTCAGAGAGGGCGCGCACAGCCCCCAGGGACACACAGCTTCCGCTGTCTCTCCCTCCCGCGCCCCAGGTCGGTGGCCCACGCCTGCCCCACTGACTTCGGTTGACAGTTGGTTTGCTTCGAAGCAGATGGAAAGCGCGATAGGGCCGGGCCGGGTCACCGAGGCCACAGGGAGCTTTCCCCCGCCCACTGAGGCTGGGGCGGTCCCAAGACTTGCTCTGCGGGCGGATGGGAGCAGCGCGCGGGAGGGAGTGGGCGGGTGTGTGTGTGTGTGTGTGTGTGTGTGTGTGTGTGTGTGTGTGTGACGGCGTCAGAACCGGCCTGGTGGTGAGGAGGCCGGAAAGACAGCACCGTACCTGGCCCTTTGGGGACCAGACACAAGGCTCTCAGGACACCATGGTGTGGACCAAACGCTGATACCCTCCGTGGCTCCCACCCTCGACGCGGCCAGGATTCTGGCAGATGGAATCTGTGAGCTCTGGGCCAGCCTGTGCTACGCAGTGTGCCTTGTCTCAGACTTCACAGGGTCTTGTACTGGGCAGTCAGTTCCCTGTACCTCTGGGAGAACATTGCATCAACCAGGAGCAGGAACCTTTTCTCTACATCTAATGTAATAGGCACCTTTCTCTTTTTTCTTCTTCCTTTGTTTCTTGGGACAGGGTTTCTCTGTGTGGAATTGGCTGTCCTGGAGCTCACTCTGTAGACCAGGCTGGCCCCAGACTCCGAGCTCTGCCTGCCCACCCCGAGTTCTGCTTACATGTCCAGCTGCATGACACAAGAAGACATCAGATCTCACTATAGATGGTTGTGAGCCACCATGTGGTTGCTGGGACTTGAACTCGGGATCTTTGGAAGAGCAGCCAGTGCTCTCAACCTCTGAGCCATCTCTCCAGCCCCTTTTTTTTTTTTTTTTTTCTTCTTCTAAGAAAAAAGCTGGATGGTGGTGGCTCATGCCTTTGATCCCAGCCCTTGGAAAGCAGAGACGGGCGGCTCTCTGAGTTCTAGGCCAGAGTTCTAGTTCAGAGTGAGTTCCAGGATAGCCAAGGCTACACAGAGAAACCCTGTCTCAAAAAACAAAAGCAAACAAACAAATCTCTTTCTTCGGTGTGTGTGGATGCTCTGCCAGCGTGTGCGTGCATGGAGTGCCCACAGAGACCAGAAGAGAGCATTGGATTGCCTGGAGCAGAAGGCCCAGGTGTGAGTGCTGGATTTGAACCCCTGTCCTCCGAAGCTCAGCCAGACCACAGCTGCGCGGCAACCCACTAGATGGCTGTTGCTGAGCAGCGCCCGTGAGCACACGTGCGGACCTGCTGATGGCTTTCGGTTTATGTCACTGCTGTTCCTGGACATGGCGTCAAGCCGCAAGGCCGCCCTCGAACTCTCCCTAGCTGCGGTGACTGGGGGGGGGGGGGGGGGGG